ATTTATTTTTTTTCCCGATTTTTGGCGTATATGATCACGATGTGTAAACAAACAAGTTTGATGGTTGGATCGTTGAAACTAGTTTCGTAGAATGCGTATGCCATCAAAACATTATATTCACTAACAATTAAGAGTTTATTTATACTTTCATTAAATACAACATAAGATTTTGTGGTATCCACTAGTGTAAATATTTTAAATTGAAGATCAAATTGAGTCATTGTATTCATATAGGGTCAAGGAGTGTAGCTGTAAAAAATCATCAAAATCGGAGTTAAAATAATCGTTAAATTGTGATTTTTGTTTATAACCATTGAAAAGTTTTGTCCAATTACGTGATCTCTGAATGTTTATTTTTTCTGATTTTTGGGGTATACGATCTCGAAGTATAAACAAACAAATTTGACGGTTGGATCATTGAAACTAGTTTCATAGAATACATATCCCATCAAAACAATATATTCACTAATAATTAAGAGTTTATTTATATTTTTATTAAATATAACATAAGATTTTGTGGTATCTACTAGTGTAAATATTTTAAATTAACAATCGAATGCAGTCATTGTATTCATATAGGGTCAAGGAGTGTAGCTGTAAAAAATCATCAAAATCAGAGTTGAAATAACCCATTAAATCTTGATTTTTTGTTTATAACCGTCGAAATGTTTTGTCCCATTAATTGATCTCTTAATGTTTATTTTTTCTGAATTTTGGCGTATATGATCTCAAAGTATAAACAAACAAGTTTGACGATTGGATTGTTGAGTAGCTTTAAATTTGTTTATTTTGTATGTATAACACTTAAGAAATTAAACATTTGGGCGGGTACCAAAAATGGGAATTTTTTTTAAAAAAAAATTTACGACTTTGCGCGACCAATATATAATGTTTCGTCGCGCAAAGTATACTCTAAAATTTTGGGCGGGCGGGAATATTTTGGTTACCCAAAACGTTGAGTGACCAAAAATTCGTCGCGCACCAAAAATGAGAAAATATTTTTTTAAATTTTTTTCGAGACTTTGCTTGACCAATATATTATTTCGTCGCACAAAGTGATACGGCTTTTAAAACCAAAATAACTCCTCCACCATTTTCTCAATGTCTTCTACTCTTACCTCTCCTCTCTCTTTCCCTCTCCCCAAATCCTACCCTTCTCATCTCTCTCTTCACTATCTATCACTCTCACTCACTCTCTTATCTCTCTTTTGATCATCTCTCACTCTCACTCACTCTTTCATCTCTCTCTCTCTCACTATCTTCTCAAATTCTCTCACACTCACTTCTCCCTCTCTCATTCTCACTCACTCAAAATCTTGCCAAAAGGTATATTCTCTCCAAATTTTAAATTTTTTTCATTAATATGTGTTTTTGGAGTTAGTTTTGAGTTTACGCCAATTTTTTGTTATTATTTTATGTTATTTTTTTGTTATTTGACAATATTTATTTATTTTTTGTAGGGAATCGTCGAGACTTTTACGGCTAAAGTTGAGGATAATTTGGGAATCCTCCGCCACTACCACCACAATTGGCTTGTAGATTTTATTATTGTACTTTGTTAATTTATGTGTACATTTTGAATATTATATATATTGGATAATTTGACCATTATTTTTCATATGTAATTTTATTTTGAATATGTCAATTTAAATTAAAGTAATTAAAAAAAATAAAATCATACAATTAAATTAAATTTGAAAAGTAAAAATTTGAAAAAATAAATATAATGAAATTTATATAAGATAAATAATAAAACAAAATGTCAAAAACCTTGCGCGACAAAATATTTCGTCGCCCAAACTATTAAACTAGTTTATTTTAATTAAAAAATTTTTAAAAACAAAAATTAAAAAAAATTGAATATTTCGTCGTGCAAAGATTTGCGTGACATTAGGATTCGTCGCGCAAAGTATATTTGCGCGACGTTAACTTTCGTCATGCAAAGTAGTGAAGCTTTGTCGCGCAAAGTAGATATTATTCGTTGCGCAAAGTAGATAATATTCTTCCCGCAAAGTAGTTAATATTCGTCGCGCAAAGTGGTTAGTATTCGTCGCGCAAAGTAGTTAGAATTCGTCGCGCAAAGTGGTTAAGATTCATCGCGCAAAGTATCTTTGAGCGACGTTAATATTCGTCGCGCAAAGTCTTATCATTCGTCGCGCAAAGTGGCTTTGCGCGACAAAGAGTATTTTTCGTCGCGCAAACCCTTTCTTGACGATCTTTGCGCGACAGAACTTGCGCGACTAAAATTTCGTCGCGCAAAGTGTTTTTTGTAGTAGTGCTATATGGTTTATTGAAATATATATTCTATATTCTATATTCATTATATATATACATCACTAATCAGACCGGATTCGGGGATGGGGATAACAATACTATCCTTGGCCCATCTTTAACCGGGGATTTTTAAAATTCGGGGATCCTTGTACCCGCCCCTGATTTTCCTCAAAATCTTCCCCCGTTAGAGGCGGGTACTCGACAGGGACTTGACCCAGCTGGTATTTTTTCCATCCCTATTCTAAAGGCTTTGTGGTATAAGCCTGGAACCTTACGGCTAAGAATTAGGGCTCGTTTGAGAGTGATTCTAGAAATGCCATAATCACTTTTGGGGAGAAGTACATTCCACGTGCTTCTTTATATAATCATTTTTAGTGATTTTAAGTGATTTTGAGAAGAAACACCTCCCATGTGCTTCTCCATAAAATCACTTTTAAAGTGATTATGTGGAAAAGTGATTCTCCACAAAAGTAAATACTGACCTATATAGAATCACTTCCAAATGAGCCCTTAGTTTCTATCTCGGCCACAATCACTTGAAAGAAGTCAAGATCATAGCAGGGAGCATAAGTCATTCGCTCATTCATACTCACGACCACTTGTGACCGTGATATTGGCATGCCACACACGCACATTAAAGAAGGATGTCTTTGTTATCAAGTCCGCTCGACCCGTCGATTATTCTATTTATAAAATCGACCCAATTGGCCGAAAAGAACAACATAAGATAAACCTAGAAACATTATAGCATTAATTCAGCACATACTCCTAAGAATTTGTGTTTATATCCTATCTCTCAGCTGTTTTTCTTTTCCTTTGTAGCTTGTCTCCTAAAAATGGGGTTGTGGCTCAAATGAGAGCATTTACCGTTGCACCCAAGGTCCTAGTTTCAGTCCTTCCTCTCCCAATATCCATATGTGTGAGAGAGAGAGAGAGAGAGAGAGAGAGAGAGAGAGAGAGAACAAGGCCTTACATTAACCAAGTATCAAGTAAATGAGATAGAACAAGGCCTTCTCAATTGATAATGAGAAATGGAACGCTGTGTTGATTACAAGGTGGTAAAAATTCTTACAAAGTGAAACGAAGACCAGCTGAATCATCATAAAGTTAATTAGACTGCGTTCGACTGCAATATGGTTGCCAATGAGTATTTTGCTAAAGTGGGATTACAGTCTCCAGTTTGTTTAACATGTCATGACTTCAAAATCTCTTGAATAAGAATTTGTTAAATTGTTAATAAAAAGAACATAAAAAATCTGAGAAAACCTCAAGCCCGCCTAGAACATTTGTATTTGAGCTTGTAACTCTATCTCTTTTCAGAAATCTGACATGCATTGTTTTTTTTCTTTTTCCTCAACGGGGTATATCATCAGAAACCGTCAAACCATTGACACTGCAAGTATAAGCACCAATCTGATGGTGGTGGTTTTCAGACCTTCCAGTAAAAAATGCAGGTCGCTCAGGTTTGGAAAGACTAATAGTTTCAGTTTTCAGCATTAGAACAACTGATGACATGGTTGGCCTATTGTTTGCATCCTCTTGAACACACAATAGTCCAATGTGGATGTATCTCAAAAATTCATTTGGGCTGCATGAATCTTTCAACAATAGTGGATCCATCAACTCCAACACCTTTCCTTCATTCCATAATTGCCAAGCCTGCAAGCAATAGTACTTTATTAAGGATGTAAAGAGCACTACACTATGAGAGCTACCAAAATAATGATTTGGACAACAATGTTGGATAGTTAAATTAGGGGACTGCTTGGCTCCTCTCCTGAAAGGAATCATTTCTCTTTGGTGCAAATTACGGTTTGAAATTATATATATGCAAAAATAACTCATTAAAAATTTAAAATTAATTTTTTCTACGTACATATTAAATTGTAATTGGTAGATAAATTGGAACGATTACTTTTAAGGAAAGGAGGCTAGTATTCAAACTAAGTAATTACATACTTACATATGCTAGAAGAGTAGGTACACATTGGTCAAAACCTAAAAAGTTCTTTTTTCCTGTTATGATCTCAAGCAAGAGTATTCCGAAGCTAAAGACATCAGATTTTATGGAATACAATCCCTCCATTGCATATTCTGGAGCCATGTAACCACTGGCATATCAAAATTAATGCTCACATAAGAGTTTTAAAATATGAAAATTATCATACATTATTCTTCTTTGTGGTGCATCATATCATAAAAAGTATATTGAGTTATATAAATTGGAACTTACAGAGTGCCGACGATTCTTTTGGTGTTTCCTTGAGTTTGACCATCAAGTCCAACCATTTTAGCCATGCCAAAATCTGATATTTTTGGATTCATATCGCCATCTAACAAGATGTTGCTAGCTTTCAAATCACGATGTATAACTCTAAGTCTAGAATCTTCATGAAGATATAAAACTCCTCGAGCAATTCCTCCTATTATGATGCAGCGTCTCAACCAATTCAGCTGCTCTCGTTTTGTGGGTTCTGCACAAACATTTATCAACACTTGTTACATTCAAGGTTGAATTAATTTACCACTTAGAACTATATATATTGACAAACAAAAATACTCAAATGAAATTCACAAACCAAATAGAAAGTGATCGAGACTTTTGTTGGATACATATTCATAGACAAGTAGGGTTTCTTCTCCTTCCAAGCAAAATCCCAGAAGCCTCACAAGATTTCTATGTTGAAGTTTGGCTACCAATACAACCTCATTCTGGAATTCTTGCACACCTTGTGTGGAGCTTTTTGATAGCCGTTTTACTGCTATTTCTTGTCCGTTACCAAGTGTTCCCTACAAGGTTATATATAGTCATTTCAATCATTTCCATTCTTCGATCATCTTAATTCAGAACTACGTGATCTTCAAGCTAAGAATTTCTAATAAAGTACAAATTAAAAAGTTCTCTGCATGCAAAGAGATATCTTCATACCTTGAAAACTGCACCAAATCCTCCTTCACCTAATTTGTTGTTGTCTGAAAACTTGTTTGTGGCAGTTTCAATAGTTCCCAAATCAAATTGCAAGGACTCAACAGTCTTCATATGATTTCCAACTAAGCAAATATGAGTTTTCCAAGAGATTAGATGTACTAGAAAAGGTCTTAAGAAAACGAAGGAATTAATGATCTCATCGGTTCCAAGACTAGTAAATCTTTGATTCAGTTTTTACCTTTTTTCTGTTGTTTTTTGGCTTGGTATTTCTCTCTGACTCTTCTTAGTCTCTTGGGAAAGAAGCATCCGGCCACAATCACAACACACACACAGAAAGCAACAGGACCAAGAGTACTAGCGATGATTATGAATGTGACTTTGCTTCGTCCTGTATGAACAAGAAGAAAAGTGCGAAAGAAAGATTGACAAAACATTTATTAATTCCCCTCTAATCAGATTTATGTGTTTTTTAGCCAGCTAGCTTTTAGTCTAGTGGTACTTCTAGAGGTTCCATGTTCTATTCTTCCCCTATTAATTAAAAAAAAGACTTATTAGTAAGATAATAAGTCAATGTAGTAAAAACAAAATATTCATATCAATCCATATATAATAAAACATTTAGTTGTAATATAGAATATTTACCAGGTCTGGTCGACGGAGGCGCAGACGGCGGAGGTGGCAGCCATCGAGGCAAGGCGGGTGGAGGAGGGAGTGATGGCTCTGGTGCAAGCGATTGTTTTGTGGTACTTGTCACCTCTTGGTAGAAGGAGTACATTTCGAACCTAACATTACAACTTGGATATAGAACTCGTCCTCCTTGCTTACTCGGCACCAACCGCGTCGCGCCTTTCCGGAGGCATGCATTGCAATCCGTGGCGGACAGGTCCTGCGTGCACTGCCCAAGGCTGTACACCGTAAACGAAATCACGTTCGGCGTAAAAGTTGCTTCTTCCGTCGCAAACTTGTCGCTGGCGTTGGCTGCCTTGGGGACCAAGTTGTCCAAAGTCATAACCAGCACATCGTTAAGCTCAGCTGGTTCCTCCATATACTCCGTCAAATTCTCCGTGCTATACAATACCCAGTCAGGCGACGTGGCAGCCTCAGAATGGAAGGGCTGGTTTGAGTATCGTAGCATGCAGTAGTCGTACCAAACCACTGCCTGTTGGCTGTCGGGACAGCGTAGGAGTGCCTTCGAGGTTGCGTTGGCCACGCATTCTTTGCAGATACGGGCAGACACATCACGGCGGCAGAGGAAGAGGCCGTATGCGGTGCCAACAGTGGCGTTGTAGAAGCCAGCGGTGTCGCTGCGGTTGGCGTTGGAGGAAAGGGTTGAGAGGAGTTGGTGTAGATTGGATTTAAAGGTGGAGGTGCCAGCCAAGGTTGAGCAGTAACCGCCGGTGTATGCAGCTTCAGTGGGGAAGCTAACAATAAGCATGGAGGAGAGAAGGTAGAAAAGGAACATTTTTTTATTTATTAATCGGATATTTTGCATGGAAACTAAGGTGTGTGTATATATAAACATAACACAATCCCAATACACACAGCTTGACTTGAGTATAAACAAGAATTAGGTCGTTGGCAGTTCTCTAAGAATTTTTGGTTCTAGTTCTAGGATCAACGACCAGAAGACTTGGCAATAAAACTATTATAATGATCACCTCAATATTATTATGAATGTATGTCTATCAATAAAATTTCTACATCAAGATCGGATGATGAGGACATTGGCCAAGTCGCGCTACTCACGGATTTCCAACTAAGCAAATATGAGTTTTCCAAGAGATTAGATGTACTAGAAAAGGTCTTAAGAAAACGAAGGAATTAATGATCTCATCGGTTCCAAGACTAGTAAATCTTTGATTCAGTTTTTACCTTTTTTCTGTTGTTTTTTGGCTTGGTATTTCTCTCTGACTCTTCTTAGTCTCTTGGGAAAGAAGCATCCGGCCACAATCACAACACACACACAGAAAGCAACAGGACCAAGAGTACTAGCGATGATTATGAATGTGACTTTGCTTCGTCCTGTATGAACAAGAAGAAAAGTGCGAAAGAAAGATTGACAAAACATTTATTAATTCCCCTCTAATCAGATTTATGTGTTTTTTAGCCAGCTAGCTTTTAGTCTAGTGGTACTTCTAGAGGTTCCATGTTCTATTCTTCCCCTATTAATTAAAAAAAAGACTTATTAGTAAGATAATAAGTCAATGTAGTAAAAACAAAATATTCATATCAATCCATATATAATAAAACATTTAGTTGTAATATAGAATATTTACCAGGTCTGGTCGACGGAGGCGCAGACGGCGGAGGTGGCAGCCATCGAGGCAAGGCGGGTGGAGGAGGGAGTGATGGCTCTGGTGCAAGCGATTGTTTTGTGGTACTTGTCACCTCTTGGTAGAAGGAGTACATTTCGAACCTAACATTACAACTTGGATATAGAACTCGTCCTCCTTGCTTACTCGGCACCAACCGCGTCGCGCCTTTCCGGAGGCATGCATTGCAATCCGTGGCGGACAGGTCCTGCGTGCACTGCCCAAGGCTGTACACCGTAAACGAAATCACGTTCGGCGTAAAAGTTGCTTCTTCCGTCGCAAACTTGTCGCTGGCGTTGGCTGCCTTGGGGACCAAGTTGTCCAAAGTCATAACCAGCACATCGTTAAGCTCAGCTGGTTCCTCCATATACTCCGTCAAATTCTCCGTGCTATACAATACCCAGTCAGGCGACGTGGCAGCCTCAGAATGGAAGGGCTGGTTTGAGTATCGTAGCATGCAGTAGTCGTACCAAACCACTGCCTGTTGGCTGTCGGGACAGCGTAGGAGTGCCTTCGAGGTTGCGTTGGCCACGCATTCTTTGCAGATACGGGCAGACACATCACGGCGGCAGAGGAAGAGGCCGTATGCGGTGCCAACAGTGGCGTTGTAGAAGCCAGCGGTGTCGCTGCGGTTGGCGTTGGAGGAAAGGGTTGAGAGGAGTTGGTGTAGATTGGATTTAAAGGTGGAGGTGCCAGCCAAGGTTGAGCAGTAACCGCCGGTGTATGCAGCTTCAGTGGGGAAGCTAACAATAAGCATGGAGGAGAGAAGGTAGAAAAGGAACATTTTTTTATTTATTAATCGGATATTTTGCATGGAAACTAAGGTGTGTGTATATATAAACATAACACAATCCCAATACACACAGCTTGACTTGAGTATAAACAAGAATTAGGTCGTTGGCAGTTCTCTAAGAATTTTTGGTTCTAGTTCTAGGATCAACGACCAGAAGACTTGGCAATAAAACTATTATAATGATCACCTCAATATTATTATGAATGTATGTCTATCAATAAAATTTCTACATCAAGATCGGATGATGAGGACATTGGCCAAGTCGCGCTACTCACGAGTCACTTCAATGTTTCCATGTGAAAAGTATCTTTGTTTTTTTGTCCTCAGCACCATGTGCCGCCACATGTCAACTGGCTAGAATTTTGTATAGCCTAGTTATTTTAAACCTAGTTTACCCATCTAGATTAGTTTAGAGTATAATATCGTTTGTATAAAATATATATAGTCTTTCTCTAATGCAGATGTTCGAATACTATTAAAATCCGGGCGTCCGCTTTGCAACTTGTTTTTTGCAGTTGATTGGATTCCTGCTGCCAAAACATTTATTAATTGCCCTCTAATTAGATTTATGTGTTTTTTAGCCAGCTAGCTTTTAGTCTAGTGGTTCTTCTAGAGGTTCCATGTTCTAATCTTCCCCTATTAATTTTTTAAAGAAAGACTTATTAGTAAGATAATAAGTCAATGGAGTAAAAACAAAATGTTCATATCAATCCATATATAATAAAACATGAGTGCTTCTGTTTCCACCCCTCTGTCCTATTTTCCCACCCACCTTATCTTTAAAATTTTAAAGACAAATTTACCCATTTGTAAAATGACTTCTAAGGACTTAGAGACAAAACCAATCTCCCTCACCTAAGTGTGAGCAACCATTTTATACCAGCCATTGGATTAACTTAAATTCTTGACTTGCATACTGCAAACAACTTCTTCTTCCTCATCTAGCCATATCTCTGTTTTCTAAAAGCTTCCAAAAGTTTTAATATTTTTCCATCATAAATCTGATTTCTCTCAAAGGTACTATCATTTTCTCTGCGAAATAAATGTGGGCAAAATTAATTTTCCCTTCAAAGGCTCCTATTGTCCTTTTAACATTTCATGAAATTTTATGTCATGAAGTTTTTTTATTTTCGCCCATGTGCTTCAAACAACAAGCGATTGGTATTATTTGATTGAGGGAGATCAACAGGCACTACTACAAAAAACACTTTGCGCGACGAAATTTTGGTCGCGCAAGTTCTGTCGCGCAAAGATCGTAAAGAAAGGTTTTGCGCGACGAATTATAACTACTTTGCGCGACGAATACTATCAACTTTGCGCGATGAATAATATTATTTTGCGCGACGAAATATTCAATTTTTTTAAATTTTTGTTTTTTTAAAAAAATTTTAAATTTTTGTTTTTTTAAATTTTTTAATTAAAATAAACTAGTTTAATAGTTTGCTCGACGAAATATTTTGTCACCCAAGGTTTTTGACATTTTTTTATTATTATTTCTCTTATATCAATTTCATTATATTAATTTTTCAAATTTTTACTTTTTAAATTTAATTTAATTGTATGATTTTATTTTTT